TTTGACCACTATGCATCTAGGTCACTTTCTCACTATCTTGCTTATTGTAATTCTCCGTTAACCACGCACTCCTCATTCATCTTTGAATTCCCCAATACCTAGCATGGTACAAGGTGTATAGCTCATTCTCTGTAAATGTCTGCTAAATGAATCAGTAAATCTTAGAACTTTTATAAATTTATACATGCTGAAGTAAAAACACTACCACAGATGGAAAAGAAGGTAGTTATATGAGCCAACTATGAAGAATGCCTGCTTTGTTTTAATGTCATTTCTCTTCTCTCTAACTCCTTCCCTCTTTTATCTTTATCAGTGCTCCCAACCTTCCACACACAATCCTGGCAGGGTGGCAGTTCTCCTTTGTAGCCAGGTAAGCTGGGACTCTAGTTCTGCTGTCCAAGATCCTGCACCAACTAGCATAGTTAACTGGACATTAATAAAATACTTTAAGCACATAAATCATGGCTCCAAAGCTACCTTGTATCAGCAACAGGGACTGCCACCTACATATGTAAGTCAAAGATACCTAGAATCATAACTAAGGCAGAATATTCCCAATATTCTAGAAGATAGAAGGCATCTCCTTAAAATGGAGATTAAAACTATTAAAGAGAGCAAAACACAAACAAAAAAACCTTTGAAGTAGACTTCCTTGTTGTTAATATGTGTGTGTGTGTATTTATATTAAAACATTTCTTTTTCAACAACTAAATAAAAACATTACCAAATCATCTTATGTAAAACCTAACTTTATGTTGACCTTCCTCATAATGCAAGCAATGCTATCTATCCAATAAGGTTCTATCCGAACAATATAATTGAATTCATTTACATGACTTTGAAACTATTCTAAGCTAAGTCATAAAAGACAAAAAAGTAGAATATATGCAATCTAAGGAGGGGGATGATCCACTTAGACAATGTGACATATCCTCTCCTTGCCTCACTGTTGTTGTTACATGCCACTGAGTCGATTCTGACTCATACTGACCCCATGTGACAGAGTAGAACTGCCACACAGTGTTTCCTAGGCTGTAGTCTTTTAAAAGAGCAGATTGCCAGGTCTTTCTCTCCCAGAGCCGCTGGGTGGGATCAAACCACTGACCTTCTGGTTAACTGAGTGCTTAAGTTTTACACCTCCATAGCTTCTTCTGTCTCATCAGGAGATACCAAATGCTTAATGCAATCAACAGTTACAGAAATCTCCATGTAAAACATGCCATAAGAATACACACGTATTAATTTTAAATGTGTATAGTATAGTAATGGAAGCTCTGGTGGAGTAGTACCTAAGATATGTGACTGATAAACAGAAGGCTGGTGGTTCAAATCCACCAGCTACTCCCCAGAAGGTAGGTTAGGCAATCTACTTCCCAAGTGATACCGTGTCGGACACCCAAGGAGAGGTTGCTGTGAGTCGGATCCAACTCAACAGCTGTGCATGCATGTGCATGTGTGCATAGTATATTAACAGTATACCTTTGAATAAGTCTACCCCATATTATGGTTTTCATATTAATCTCCCTGAATAGAACAAAAACTGATTGTTTGATTGTATATCCTAACAAGCACTTTTAAAATCAAAACACAAAATAATGTTATTATTTTTTTTCCTCTAACTCATGAAATTTCTAGTAACTAAGATTCCTGTCATGAAATCCAGTTTTAGGACAAAAAATTGGAAACATAGAATGCTAGGTATATTAAGAGTTTTTATTTTTTATAACCTAAACAAGTATATGTTCAACTAATTTGCTTTGAGGAGTACTTTACTGATCTCAAAGCCAGTAATATGACATTAGTAAAAGAAAGGAAATGCAACCCAGACATTGACTAGCATGGATTACTGAGGACAAAGTGTATTTTTCAAAACCTCAGAACATATAAAAACACACAAAAACAAGTTAATATTATAAAGGATTTTACTTTAGTTTATTAAGATACAATTCTAATACAAACTAGATAATGTGATGAGTTGAATTTACTAGAGAAAAGGGAACAGAATCAAAAGGACAGGATCTAGGGTATTTTTTTAAATATTTACAATTGTGTCCAAATGTAGACCATAAGGTATTAGTTTTAGGTTTACTATAACATTACTGTGACATTTATTTATAAAGTTTCTATCTCTATCTATAAAATTGATAAATTTCTCACACTTAATTTACTACCCAAGCACTTTTACATTACTCAAGCCAATATTATTGCAATGTAAGAATAAGTTTGTGTAAAAGAAACAATGAATATTGTAAAATTTATGCTTTATCTTCTTCATCCAAGCAAGATTTTTTTTTAATGTAAATCTGTATTAGATACAAATCACTTCAATTGATGCCACTCTACACAGAACAAGGATGAATATGTATTAATTTAAGTACTACATTACTAAATAAACTCTAAAATCATTATGTCACTTTGTCCTTTATAAACAACTAAAATAACCCAATCTCATCTATAAATTAAGCCAATTCACTCTGGAATAGCTTATTAGTAAAAATAAATGCATAAATAAATTTAATCACATATCAGTTACTATTATGATCCACGTATAACTTTCAGTGATCATAATGATTATCTTCTTCAGTGATTTTAATTTTCTTTCTGTAAGAAGTAATTCTGAGTCTAACATGATATATGCAATCTCTGTACCCATGTAACCATGTGACAATGATAAAGCCATGTGGTGTTAATCAGAATCTCCCAATACCGTTTCCAGTGTTCTTTGTCATTTTTTGACTTGAATGCAAATCTGAGGTTGATGATAATCCTGTGATAAAAATGGTAACTTTTTGTTATTTCTCAAACACTTCCCTCTGTTCACCCCAAAAGACTGAATGTGTCATGTTCCTAAAGCTCATTGATTATGATCACAATTTCTGAAATTCTAGTTCAGCCATATAAAATTAGAATTTTCCTTCCCTTAGATATCAGAGTATGCTCAAGCCAATTTTTATAACCACACTATAGCCTTTGTATATCTTAAATTGGGCTACAACTTTGAACTGAAAACAAACTATATTAATGGCATCATTCTTACAGTTTTTTCAAAGCTGAACAAAGAAATAAGTCCCAGTAGTCTAGGTTAGAAGAAGCTCTGGTGGCATTGTGGATAAGACATTTGGCTTCTAATCAGAAAGTCAGTAGTTCATAACCCACCAGCTGCTCCATGAAAGGAATATGGAGTGATCTTATTCTGTAAAGAGTAACAGCCTCAGAAACCTAATGGGGGTCGCTATGAGTAGGAATCGACTAGATGGCAGTGAGTTTGGTCTGGTTTTAGTTTAGTCTAGGTTACAGACTCAATTTTAACAGCATGCATCAATCTCCAGTGAGCACTTTAAATCTAGCCAAGAAGTGCATGCGCACACACACGTGTGTGTGTGTGTGTTATGTATGTATGCCTCTCTCCATTTCCTTCTGC